TGCATGCATTCTGTTATGCATTTTGGTCATGTTCTTGTTAAATTTTCATGTTCTAAGAAGTCTGCTGGACTAAATAGACTTCCCTCCTCCCCCTAAAAATAATAAGCAAATCCAATGCAATAACTATGATTATCATAATAAAGAGAAGCTTAAAGCATATTGTATAAATTAAGTACATAATGTAACAAATCCTATATGTGTCGTAAATAGTCTCCACCTAAGCAGGCTAACTGGCATACATACGAGTGTGAAATATTATACAGTGAAACCCGTGTGTCCTAAAAGACTACCCTAGGGTACTGACAAATACTTTACAACATCAAATTACCCACATTACACAAACTGGTGCTGCAATTTAACCAGAAAAGGTCTATAATTTGCTCAAAGTACAACAGTTTTCCTAAGAGACCTGCTAAAACACTATGTAATTCAATGTCTATAAGTCAACAATATGAATGTATAGTGTTATGAATATACTCTTACTTTGAATTCTTTTGAATTTTGTGGAAGAGCTCATATCAATCAAAATAAAACCTGTTAAAAATAATTGCTTTATTTTTAATTTCATGTAATTGGCTACTATTAATTTAATATTTAATTAAAACAAAGATAAATAAATAAAATATTGTGTTAAATTCACTCACTGAATTTACATACTTCAAGTTTTCAGTAGAAACAAGTAAACATTTCCATTTAAACAAGCTTAGTGACAATAATCTCTAATACAAAATAACCACAATATAATCTCTTGTGGGATTCCCTTTGCTTTTTTCCAAGTACAATTTTCAGATACTTTTATTAAAAGACACATCTCTTTTAAATTGTTCTCCTGCACTGAAAAGTGATTTGGTAAAAATGAGGGTTCTGGATTCATTATCACACTGATTTTCCTACCCAATGAACTCAGTTTTCAAGCAAATTTCTAACTGCCAGCTGCACAAACTCAGCCTGAGCCTTGGATCCCTTCCATCTCATGCATCACCACCAGTAATAAATGTCCTGTATGCCAAAATATGCCCTCCATGGCATCTGTGCAATCCCAGTGCCATCCGTGAATTTGCACAGGTGTTGCTGGGGGCAGACGTTCAAATCAATAGGGTTACACACAAGTGGCTGAGAAAATTATCTGCCAAACAGAACTACTAGTACTACAGTGATCTATGGGATGGAAGGGACCTAACTCAACTTGCAGAATCAGGTTTTAGTCTCACAACTAGGAAGGCGAAAGTGTTCTGTCTTGCAACCAAAAACTCTGAGAGGGTTGCAATGTACATGGAATATCCCAAAACTAATTTTTATCCTGTTTCTTAGAGCATAAAATGGTTTTGCAGTGTACATGATGCCCAAAGAACACGTTCAAAAATGTTTTTAGTAAGTTGCATTTTGGAAGTGATATGCATTGGTAACTTAAACCACCTCCTTGTATCAGATCAGTGTGCCCGGCTGAGAGGAAATGGCCCATCTCTATTTGTCCCATTGAGACAGTGCTGTCTTAGGGGAGGATGTCTTAGGGGAGGATGGTGGTGCAACAACATGCTCCAGGATGGTAGATGTAGACACACAACAGAGCTGCAGGAAAAAGGTTACTTTCTGCTCTGTTTTTAACTCCTGGATTTTTTCAATGTACGCAATCTCTGTCTCAACATTTCTTTGCAGATCGTGTTTTTATAAACAATGGTCAAATGATGTTTCTAGAGCTACCTACAGGAAGCAAGCAGTTCAAAGGCAGCACTTTTGTCAAATATTTGCTATATGACCAGGAATAGAGTCTTGCACTGGACAATGAGTCAGTTGAATACTCAGCTCTGGCAGGAGGTGAGCTGGGAAGAGCTGCTCCTGCTCCTGCTCCCTCTGACAGCTTCTCTGGGCTCCAGCTCGACCCTCCTGCAACCCCTCCAGCAACAGAGGGCCACACTGCCTGGAAAGAGGCTACGCATCCAGCAAACCACCCCCCACACTGGTCTCACCATAACTGTATCTAGTGCACACGCTTCTGGCAAAATGAAGATTTCAGCACACAAATCAAAGTTAAGTACCTCTGGATACTTTTGTTTACAGTTACTTTAAAATTGGGTGCAAATCCAGTTTTTCTGGATTTTGTTTAAACTAGTCTGTCCTCTTGAATGATTTCTCTATTTCAGTTAAATGAGTGCATTTCACCCCTCAGTTTGAAATTCAGTTGTTACGTGTGTCAGCTTTGGGTACCTACATACCCAAAGGTTGTGGAAACCACAGTCTTATGCAACCTCAACTCCAAGAGCATACAGTAGATGAAAAGACAGGAGAGGTTGCCATTTTCCTAGCGATGACAAGGAAGTTGAATTGTTCATGTGAATTAGCAGCTTAAGATAAAAACTCATGGGAAAGGTAGATTCACCAAATCTTAAATTGCACAGCTGGTGTGCCTTTTTACTATGTTACACAGCGTTAGCTAGCACAGTGTAAAAGCACAGCTTATTTTTACCTCATGAATACAAGACTCAAGGAATTTATGTTGTGGGTTTTTTTTTTTCCAGAAAAGATCACTAGGAAATGTGTCTGTGATCTAACCTCAGGTTTGACCCCTCCATTCAGAATTCATCATATGTTTTCCATTAAGACAAAGCTCTCTTGACACTGTAATTCTTTCTCGATCCATTTTGAATCTACAGCTTGTGATTGAAACCACTTCCCACACCTTGCAGAAGGTGCGTAACACCAGTTTTCCCACACGTTCCCCATACAAAGTCATTTTGGGCTCTCCAGACAAAAATCTGCAGCACAAATCAGAACAGGCATTAAATAAATAACCAAAAGAACACTGCACTTACTTCACTATTTCTCTTCAGAGTTAGAATAGTAAAAATCTTGGCTTTCAGTTTACTTAAATGTAACACAGAGAATAGGCACTATAAAGAGGGGGAATAACCTTCACTTTTTCTAAACCACTGTTTCTTTAACAACAAACTTTTTCGCACAGATTTCATTTTGTATCTTCCATAACATGGTTCAGAAGATGGTTCACCTTTTTCAGCATAGATGGGGTAGATATAAACACACAGGGCCACATTCAGAGGGCTTATATTCCTACATGAAGCATTTTCTGCTGGCCATCTTCAGACCTTTGGATGCATCTCACCAGCTTCTTGACTCAGATGCCTCTGTGCTTTCACCAGCATTACATATTCATGCTGCACTGCACTCAGTATAACATGTCACACCCAAACCAGAGCACTAGGAAGTCCAGTGCAGATGCAGATCAGCAAAAACAACCTCTATGCAAGGGGGCAAGCATTAAGCTTTCTCATGAATTCTATTTTCTCCTGCTTTCTGGGGTAGCCCAGCCTTCCATTGACCTAGATAATGCAAAGATGATTATGCTTTTGAATTTCAAAAGAACAAGTAGCGGGGTGTTAGCTTTAAGTGCTGTACTCTAACAGGAATATACATGCACGCATACAACTATTGAGCTGCTTTTAGAACAGTAAATTATTTCATTTTAATAGTAATAACTACTTATTCACGTACATGTTTCAATCAGATTTCTAAAATCCTCAAGATATTTTTTTCCTGAGTGTGGCTATTATTTATCAGTTTTCAGCTTGTCTTCCTAGCACTACCCTTCAAAATAAAACAAACACCAACCAGAACATAACAATAACAAGCATGAGAAAACAGTAATACTGTTTATATTTAAAAGATCACTTTGAGGAAAAATTGAAACGTTGCCAAGACACTTCAGAAAAATGAGTTATGCCACAAAAATAGAGAAATGGGATTTATGAAAGTTATGCAATGTGCACAGTATTAGCATGCTTATGCACAGGGACAAATATGAAAGAGAAGAAATATCCCAGATTAAGTATGTTTTAATGATGGTGACTTCAATCTATGCTGAAGCTTCATTTAAAATGATCTCTCCTGATCTTAATGTGTTAAAATGCCAGACTGTCACCCTGGTGGATACAGTCGTAGTCATCAGAATGCCTTGTTGATATTGATTATATGGTTTCCATTTCAATTGACCAAAAAGGTTCCAAAATAGTTCATGGGTCTTTGAAAATGATGATTCGTCAAAATATCAATATCTTATGAAAATTCATTGGTTTTGTTTAATAGAAAACTCAATTTTCATCATCTTGAATTTTATGCATTTGTATGACAATAATATCTCCCCTAAAATTTGACACACTGACAACAAATTAAAACACTTTGACGTGTTTCATTCTGTAAACCTACAGCATTGTTTCTATCTGGATTCAAAATATATGGGAAAACATCAGAATTTCTCACAGGGCTTTATTTTTTTATTTTTATTGGAACACTGATATTTACAGAATAATGCTAAGGAATAGGATTAACTGAGACACTTGGTATCCTGGTATCAATTTGGTAAAAGGAGCCCAGCAGCAATAAAGCTGACTTCTCTGGAGGCAGCAAGCTTATGTCTCCTAAGACTCCCATCCACACTATCATTACAAGAAAAGTGATCCTTTCTGAAAACCCTTGTGACAAAGATGGCTGTGCAGAGGGCCCAATCTGAGCAATTCCTCACGGATGGAAAGTGCCAAATTCACAGCCTTTTTGGAAGGAATGTCCTGCCCTGCAGATAGCACTCCTCAGAGAGCCCACAACTAAGACATGAACTCAGGCACTCCTGAAGGCACTGCCTGCACCCTCTCCTCATGTGGTTTCTCTAAACTCTAGTGTTTTATGACAGGTCAAGTACCCTGTCAGGCAGCTTTCCATTTCACCCCATCTCTAAGGATAAGCATTATTATGGGGCTAGATTGTACCACCGGGAGATTGTGTCACAAGAGAGAAAGGTGGGAGGGAAAAAACCCTCTGCACTCATGGAGAGGCAGAGTGGTATTTTTCTAAATCTACCTTTACAATGAAGTTAACCTTCTTAAGCTATGCCTTTTCCTTTCCCTCTACTCTGTACACCCAGCTGGGGTCAGCTACTGAAGCAATGTGACACTATGTATCTGCCTTCTGTCTACTCCCTCAAACTCTTCCTGACTCCTAACAAGAGCAGCTGAGACCCGGTAACCCCAATGTATCCATAAAGCTAAAAGAGGTGAGTGCTTTTTGGTTCCTGTAACAGCACTAGTCACTCTGCAGCCCTATGATATCATAGTCACGTCATCCAAACACAGTAATTTTGCTGTGGTCTGAGGAAAATGAACGACTGTGCTAATTAGAGAATGATGTACTAGGGGACCTGCTGCTCCACTAGCACCAGTTCAATAGGATGCGCTCTGACACTGGAAAAGCTGTGCCAGGACTCATCCCTCTCACTGTCTCGCATGTCTCCAGCCAGCCAGCAACCATCAGAAAACTTATTAAACTTTTGCCTTGCTAATAACTGTAAATGGTAGCTAGAAAAACGCAAAAAGACCCGCAGAACAGTATGCGAATTTATTTTCAGCACAAAATGACCACAGATGAGTACAGAGTCATCTTTGGATTTCATAAATTCTTCGATGAAGACAAACATGGGATTATCCAGAACAGCAGGATCTGCTGCGGGCATTCTGCAACGATCTCGACACTGCTGAATAACTGGATACTTTCTGGAAAACAAACAAACAAAAGTCAGCACTGTTAGACGCTGCCTGTGAGCTTTCACTCCCTACTTCGAAGAAACTGCCTTTATCCTCAGCCTACACCACGCGGGAAACGCCTCCAGGTGGGTGAGATGACCTCTCTTCTTCGGCTTAAGTCCTGGCGGGCAGAGGGACCTCCCCACCGCCCCAGGCAGACTGCCCGTGCTGGCCTGAAGGAGCAGTGGGCACGGCCGCCCAGCAGGCCGAACCCCGAGGTACCGTCCGCATCCGCAGGCAACGGGATTCCGCCGCAGCAAGAGCGCGCCAGGCCCTGCTCTGCAGCCTCGCAGCCCAGCTCGTTAACGACAAACCACCGAAATAAGCCCTGGGGGGCCCGTGAAGGCACGAAACCGAGGTGCCCGCCGCGTTCCTCCAGGGGTCCACGGCTCCGGCGGAGGGGAAAGCGGCCGTAGGCGGACCCGCGCCGCCGACCACCGCAGCTGAGGCGAGGCCTGCGCTCTACCGCGGTGAAGGCCGTCCCGCACATCCGCGGCGAAGAAGCAATGAAAGGCGAAAGAGCCCAGTCCGGCAGGAAGACAGCGAGGGCGAAGACTGCACCAGCACCGGCCACCCGGCCCTGCTCTCGCCGGAGGAGCTGTCGCGCCGCAGCTGAGGTAGCCGCGGAGCGCCAGCGTCCCCTACCGCCCGCCTCCCTGATCCGCGCGGGGCTCCGCGGCCTCATGAAGAGAGAGAGCCACAGAGAAGCCGCTGCCACCACCCCCCTCCCTGCTCAGCTCCGCACCCAGCTGCGGCCCGCGGCGGAGGCCAGAGGGAGAAGCCCCCCGCGGCGGTACTGCTGCAGTCTCCCGGGCAGAGGGAAGAGGCACTGTGAGCACGATCACCAGCCGCCCCCCGAGCAAGGGGTGTGTCAGCATGGGGAGGGAGCGGGGGGGCAGGGAGGACTGCTGATAAAGGTGGTGGGCGGGGCGGTGGGCGGGGCGGCGCGGCGCAATTGGCCGGCAGTGGGAGTGATGTCACCCATATGAAACGCTGATAACTAGTTGGGCGAGGAGCCGCGAGTTTCGCAGAAGGGGGAGCGCGCGCGGCGGGGCGGGCGGCGCGAGGCCGGGTGCAGGGGCAGAGCCGAGCTGCACGAGCCCGGCCCGGCCGCGGGGCTGTGGGCAGCAGCGCGCGCGCCCGCCCGCCAGTCGCCCCGCGGGCTGCGCCTCTCAGCACGGCGGAGGCCCGGCCCGGCCCGGCTCGGCTCGGCTCGGCGCGCCGCAGGGGCAAGGTGCGGCGGCTGAAGGGGGCGGTGGTTCAGCGGCTTTGTTGGCTTGGAGCGTGGCGGCGGGAAGAGCGGCGCCTCGGTGAGAGCCCACCATGGTGCAGCAAGCGGAGAGTACGGAGGCGGAGAGCAACCTGCCCCGGGAAGCAATGGATACAGAAGAGGGAGAGTTCATGGCTTGCAGCCCCGTCGCTTTGGACGAGAGCGATCCGGACTGGTGCAAAACGGCGTCGGGGCACATAAAAAGACCGATGAACGCGTTCATGGTGTGGTCTAAGATCGAGAGGAGAAAAATCATGGAGCAGTCCCCGGACATGCACAACGCGGAGATCTCCAAGCGTCTGGGCAAGCGGTGGAAAATGCTGAAGGACAGCGAGAAGATCCCCTTCATCCGGGAGGCGGAGAGGCTGCGGCTCAAGCACATGGCCGATTACCCCGACTACAAATACCGGCCCAGGAAAAAGCCCAAAATGGACCCGGCGGCCAAGCCCAATGCCAGCCAAAGTCCGGAGAAAAACGCACCCACCAGCAGCGGCGGCAGCAAAAGCGCCAAAAGCTCCAGCAAGAAGTGTAGCAAGCTGAAAGCCTCCTCCGCCTCCTCGCCCCCCAAGCCGGGAGCCAAAGCCTCCCACCACGGGGACTACTCGGGGGACGAATACGTCTTCGGCACCCTCAAAGTGAGCAGCAAGACGGTCAAGTGTGTCTTCATGGACGAGGAGGATGACGAGGAGGAGGACGAAGACGAGCTGCAGCTGCGAATCAAGCAGGAGGCGGAGGACGAGGAGGAGGACGAGGAGCCGGGACCGCAGCAGCTGCGGCGGTACAACGTGGCCAAAGTGCCGGCGAGTCCCACCTTGAGCTCCTCGGCGGAGTCCACCGAGGGGGCCAGTCTCTACGAGGAGGTGCGGAGCGGCGCCGCGGCTGCGGGCGGCGGCAGCAGACTCTACTACAGCTTCAAGAACATCACCAAGCAGGGCCCGCAGCCGCCGCAGCAGCCGCCCGGTCTCTCCCCGGCCTCCTCCCGGTCTATCTCCACCTCGTCGGCCGGCAGCGAGGAGACGGACGACCTGCTCTTCGACCTCAGCCTCAACTTCTCTCAGCACGGCCACGCCGCCGCCGAGCTGGGAGCGGGTGCCGCCGCCGGGAACCTCTCCCTCTCGCTGGTGGACAAGGACCTGGACTCCTTCAGCGAGGGCAGCCTCGGCTCCCACTTCGAGTTCCCCGACTACTGCACCCCAGAGTTGAGCGAGATGATCGCGGGCGACTGGCTGGAGGCGAACTTCTCCGACCTGGTGTTCACGTACTGAGCGGCGGCGAGGAGCGGAGGAGCCGGAGCTGCGCGACGCCGGCGATGATGATACGATGATGATGCTGATGATGATAATTAAAAAAAAAAAAGTCTTGTTTTCTTTAAAAAAAAAATCTTGAAGTTAGTTCCGAGCCCGGGAGTTGTGATTTTATTATTTTTTTTACTTTTTTTTACTTTTTTTTTATTGCATTTGGTGATCACAACAACAACAGCAAAGGCAAATGGGACTGGGGGAAAAAATGATACAGAAGGCGCTGTTTGAAGCTTGTCGGTCTCTGATTGAAGTCTGGAAGATGGTCTGCAAAGAAGTCTTGTGGCAGCACAACTGTTACTCAAGGGGGTTTGTGGATTTTTTTTTTTTTTTCCCGTGAGAGATCTTGAAGAACTGTTCTATTTTTTTTTATTATTATTTTTCCGAAAGGGACCATTGCAACTTTTTTTGGAGGGAGAAAACTGATGTCTTCTATGCATCCGATTCTTAACAAAGCTGCAGGGAGCTTGAAAAAATGCAGACTGTACAAACGCTTACAAATAACTGAACTGACTTAAGATCAGAGTTTACTTTTCAGATCAAATTGTTTATGGTTTTACAAATGTGATTTCTACTTGCCAACTTTTTTTTTTTTGTAACTTGTTCCCTTATACCTCCTTGATTGAATACCAGACAGCCTAGACCTCAGTACAAAAAGGTATTGAAACATTTTTGATACATAACAGACCTCAGTCTTTTTTAAAAATTAATATATTTTCAGGCGTATTTTTGTACAGTGAAAAGGGAACATTCTTGCTGTGTTTTTTCAGTAAGACTTTTCAGGCACTTCTTCCCTTTTATTTTCTTTTTTTTGTTTTCTCTGTTTTTAGCATGCAAGTTTGTTGGTACGTTACGTCCTGGTTTTAAAAGGATTAAAATTTAAAAAAAAAAATAATCCTTGCATCTAAAGGCCTTGTGGTTTTAAAAAGAAAAAAAGAAACAAACACTTTTTTTGTACAGCTATAGTTCAGATTTGTTCAATATTTGTAGGTAAAGATTTATTGAAAATGGTGATATAGACCTCAGAGCTGTTATCTTAGTTTAAAAGATTGTATATGTACTGTACTATAGTAGGACTTTATGTATCTCATACGCTGTGATATGTGGATGGGGCCCCAGATGGAAGGTATGAAACTGGATTCTCGATTTTAGCAAAAAAAAAAAAAAGAAAGAAAAAAGGCACATAGTTAAAAGTTTCTCATGTTGTGCAATATAATCTAAAGTACAGACCATCTGCATATTTTGTAGCAAATGATGGCAAAAGCAGACTTGTGCACTGTCAACATCATAGCCTGTTTTTTTTTTTTTTTAATGCTGAAAGTCTGTATCTTGACAATTTTAATAAATCAGCTGGAACTGATAGAAACTCGTATCGCTATTAGTGTCTGTAGAAGGAACGCTGGAGATGCCGTGTTGTCACCCCTCGCCTGCGGAGGAGCGGTAGCTGTAGGCTGTTGTGCATGACCGTAGCTAGGGGGGAAGGAGAGTAAGGGCTGCTTCGCTTCTTTGCCTTTTTTTCTTTTTTTTTTTCCCGCCTCCCTTCGCCTTTCCCTCCCACTCCGGCTTTGCTCCGCGGGGCCCGGTGGGTGCCGGCCCGCAACGGTGTGGTCTCCATCAGGCGGGGCCGGGGCTGGCTTGCTGGGGGCCTGGCCGAGCGGTGGCAGGTTGGCTCGTCCTGGGTGTTTTCTGCTTTCCCTCCTCCCCCCCCCCCAGTCCGGTGAACGAGCCCGGCTCCCCGAGGGCCGCCCCGCCGGTCCCCCGTGTCCGGTTTCCGGGGAGGTGGGCGCGGCGGGTTGGGGGATGCGGCTCCCCCCTTTCCACCCGACCTGGTCCTCTCCCAGCTGCGTTTTGTCCTCCCTCTCTCCCTTTTTTGATGAATAGCCTGGGCGAGACCCGAGGCGGAGATGCTCGGCGCAGTGGGGCTGCATCTCTTCCGCCCCCCTGCAGCGCTCGGCGCGGCGGGGCGGCCCCGGCCCCTCTTCGATGAGCCGCCCGGGGGCAGGAGGGGTGTACGAGCTTCTGCTGTAGGTGAGCAGACTTTTTCAGTGTGCTTTTTTTTTTTTTTTTCTATTTTTTTTTTTTTAAATCGTAGGAGCCGTCAGATCTCAGTTGTGCTCTGAAATAACTGCTGATGGCAATAAACAGACTCACAAGGTGCAAGTTTGTTTCTCAAGAGTTTACTTTTTATCTGATAGGCATTGCTAAATTATTGTTTGGTTTTAGTTTTTTTTTGTTTGTTTTGTTCCTTTTTTTTTTTTTATCTCCACTAATTAATGATCCAGCTGTTTACAGGGACAATTCACTGTGCTGGTATTTTGGTGGCAACCACTGCTACAGGCTTTCAGACTTGCTGAAATGAAAATCCTGCATACACATTTGTAAGGCATAATAAAACATAACATTAAAACCTGCATGCATGTTATGTTTAATCAAAGACAACTCTTAGGCATTTAAGTGGTGAGATATCTTACTTTAGGTTAGTTAAACTGGTAGTAAAATGATTAATATAATCTGATCTCTTTCTAATAATAATAATAATAATAAAACACTCATGATTCTAAATAAAAGTTGTTTGGCCTAAATTTTTGCTATCAGAAAAGAGATATAGCATATCTGGGAACTCAAATTTATGTCTTGCATTGTGATAATTCTTTATGAGAAACTGTGTTTTAAAACAAACTTAATTACAATATACAAGATATCCTTGGCAATGGATAGTCCTCAATAAAACAGAGTTTCTTGAATTTTCAGTTTTTGGTCTCAAATGATTAGTGTGTTCTCCATGTAATAACTTAGAAATCAGATTGAAAACAAATGACATTTATCTCTTCTAAGGCAAAAGAGTGAAAGAAAATAGATACACTGAAGTGCTCTAGCCTAGCCATTCACTATCCTGCTATTGAAAATCCGGTTTTGGGCTAGGGTGATGGAGTAAGTTGATCAGGTTCTAAGTCTTAAAACTGAGCCAAAATTCTCTTAGTAATTCTTGAAGCTATCATGAGAGTAGAGGGACTTGTACTTCCAGTCCCTTTCTTCTGATATGCATCCTTGTTTAGTAAAGTGATAATAGGCAGTGTCATTAAACATTTGTGCTTTACAGATGTTCAATGAGTTATGAGCAATTATGGTCAAATATAGACTGCATTTAGTTTGCATTGTAATAAGGTCTGTGTCCCAGCCTACGGAAGTTTTGACTTGTATATGGTTTTGGGAGCTGTTTTTAAAATTACCATTTAAAATATTAGTCAAGGATAAGTGATGTAAAGGATCCAAGTATAGAGCAGTCAGGCAGATTTTAAAAGAGCAACAGGTTTACTTTAATCAATTAATATAATACCCTCAGAAGTATACCTTTTCTTCTTCTAGAGGGGATTTATACAATACTGTTTCAGAAGAATTATTCTGAGTGAAGGTATATGGTGCAGGGAAACAATTTTTTGTCCAGACAGTTGAGTTTCTTGTATTTCAGAGTTTATTGTTGCATATTGCTCAAGGAAAAATTAGGTAGTGTTCTGTTTAAGCCACTACATTGTTAGGGCTGAAGTTTGATGCTGTTGAATGCCTAAGCTCCTGCTGATCTCAGCGAGACTAAAAAACCAATCTTCTTATCATGAAAAATAACATCTGCTTAGCTAGTTTGTTTTTTTTTTCGCTTCTTTTGTCATATCTGATAATATTCATGCCTTCTGTTTCTCTTTTATTTTCCTGTGTTCACAGGAATCCTTGTTGACATGCTAGAACAGTCCTGTTGCAGGCTTAGTATCTCCTGTGGCCTTTTATTCCACATTCTTAATATTTGCCTCTGTACAATACTACTTTTAAGTGTAATAGGATTCAGTGATGGAAGGGGAAAAATTAGCTTTTTTTAATGTGGAAAGACAATTTACTTGCTAACACTGAGGATGTCAACTCAATGTAAGATCTAACCAAATATTCTGATTCTTTTTCAGTTTTGAAGTGAATATTTTTGTAAACTTATCATTTTTACCCTTCTGTTGTTTTTATTATGGTTTTCCTCTCCGCCTTTTAAAAGAACCACAACTAAGAAATATTTTCTTCCTTTAAGTGCAGTCTTTTTCAAATGTGGTAGAAAGACTCATTCCAAGCATCCTTTGAGTGCTACATGCTCTTTAGGCATTCGTTGTCATTCAGATGAAACTTCGAGTCTACTGAATGTGATTTGCATGCATGCAGTCTGATCCTTCACACATGCCTGTTTGAGGAAAATGCAACTCTGTTGTTACACCGAGGTAAAACTAGTGTGGGGTCAAAGTCAGGTCCATAGAATTTTTAGGTGTTTGATACTCAATACAGCTCAAGAAGTTCCTTTTTACATCTTCACAATTGTTGCCTAGTAAGGCCTTAAACCTGCGCTGGTTAAAAAGCAAAAAAAATTCTCATTGAGTTTAATGGGAGTTTTTTGCTGCAAGGGCTGCTGGCAGGGTAGGTGTCTAATGGGAGTTAGTTCATCCTAACCTTCATTTGTAAGCATGGCCAGGAAAAAAAAACAAACAACAAAAACTTAACACAATGAGTTGCCTTACATTTCCCCTACTATACTGTTGTATTCCTTTGGTTTATTTCCTTTCCTCTCACCCGCATCCAAGGCTGTGATTGTTTTCATTTTCCTTAATTTTTTTGCACACTACCTATACCAATTAACTGCCTAATTAATTTTATCTTCTCTACATGGATGCAGTGAATTTGTAAGAGAATTTCACAAGCAAGTAGTTTTTTAGTGAGTTTAAAGTAAATAGAGTTTTAAAGACCTATTTTTATATTCAATATAAAGCACAAATGTGCAGAAAGTGTAGAATGACTTACAAAAAGGGAAACAAAAGTTCGTAATATTTCATGTATAAAAGTAATACCTTCTTTGGGTTGAGATTCTCTTAGAAAACCCAATACTTATGCCAGTGCAAAGATAGGATTATTTTAAAAACTCTTAGAAAATTGTGATTGACAGCAATTTCAAAGGAATGACTTCTGTAGATACAAGGAAACCCCTAAAGCAATATGGATAAGAAGGGGTGAATGGTTTTCAATGATGAACAACCTGGAAGTGTGAGAATGGAGGTTTCAATCCTTATTAATTAATCAAATTTCTTCTTTTGTGGTTAGTTACAACATCTGGATTTTCTGTGAAGTGCAATCTTGAGGGATGAAAAAGTGCAAGGGCGCCAAACTTCTAAGCCTTGCAAATACTCAGAAACAGGTTTGGTTTAGAATTATCTGTTGTTAATTAGGGTTTTAGATTTTGGTAATTCCCACTTCCAAGAAAATCAAGACACCAATTTACCGCTTGAAGAAATTTGATTAAGTAATAATGATTAATCCAGGAACTCCCATTGTCACAATTTGTTTTTGTTTCCATCGTCCTGCTTATCTCCAAAACCAACTTGCCTCAACTCCTGGTGAAGCCAGGGAGAAGAGTTATATGCCATTGTTAGTTAGTTTACGATTTGTATCTGGTTTTGCTCTTGTACATACGTTGGCGTTTTGGA